CCCCCGGCCCTGCCGCTCCCACCCCGGGGATCCCGCCCCCTCCCCCAGCCAGGGCCCTCCCTCCTGGGCTCGTCGCGCACCCCGCCTGGGACACCCCCAAACCCGGCCTCCGGGCCCAGCCTGCCGCTACCCGCCGGGGCTCGGGGTGTGTTCTCGGGCCCTGCTTCGGCCCCCAACCCGGGTGACCTGTTCCCCCAGCCTGGCCTCGGCCTTTCTGAAAGGTGAGAGGCGTGAGTGGCTGCCTCCCCGCCTCCTGTGGGGGGGTTGGGGAGCGTCCCCCCCCGCCCCCGTTTCCCAGCTGTTGGGGTGGTCCCTAAACGGTTTTCCTTTTACTGGGCATTCAGGAAGCGGGGCGGGGAACTCTGATCCTGAGCAGGCGCTGGTCAGCCTGGAGACGGGGTCCTGCCCAAGAAAAGTGGGCGCCCTGGTATGCACCCCGACTACAGAAAGCCACGGCACTTTTTATTCCCTCTTTCCCAAATGGGTGGACTCATGGGGTCCCTTTGACCCTGCATTTCCCCTCCCTGGACTCTGCCCTGCGACCGGATTGAATGGGTACCTGTCTGTACACAAGCCTGGGAGGAGGGGGAGGTCGTCTTCCTGGGCCTTCTTCCTTCCAGAAGTGTGCAGGTGGCCTGCTGAGTGACAGGGAAGCCCCTGAAACAGGCAGTTGGGTGATAACGGTTCAAAGTGTTAGCAACCAGAAGGACAGACTCAGTCCTGGAAAGGGTCCTGCAGGGTTCCACCCTCTCCTTCGGTTTGCTTTACAGAAAGGCCGGGCTGGGGTTATTTACTGCACGGCTTACACTCCGAAAAGTACCCTGTTATTTCGTGCCGGCGGGTCCTCGTCTCTGGACCAGTCACCCTTCTTGGTTCACCTGATGCGTGTGTGGCTTTGCCAGAGTTCAAAGTAGCGAGGTCAAGTTTTTAACTTCAGTGGGGTGGAAGCGAGTCATTCTGCTCTGGGGCTGGGCGTCCTGGAAGGCTGTGAGTGTGTGTGTGCGTGTGATTTTCTTTTTCAACAAGCGAGCGTTTTCTGATCTGTTATCAGTGAACAAGATTTCCCGTTCCTCTCGAGGGATGATCTCTCTCGCGTGGCCTCATAATTGGGTCCTCAGTGTGCCACCTTCCTGTGAGCCAGTGTCTTAAAACCGATTTGGGGGAGGGGACAGGGGGAGTATGGCAACTTGAAGTAGTTTTTCTTAAGGGCATGATTTGTGTTTATAGACAGAGTTTAAAAATTGTTTTCCTCACCGAAGCAATTCATATCGAAAGCTCTTGAGAACCAAGTATGCCTTCGGTTTTTCGGTTTGCATCGACACAGTTTTAGTGACCTATTTTTATTTCTCTAAGTAGCAGCTCCCTAAGAAGGAGACTCCTTTTAGCCAAGGGGACTGTGAGAGCTACAGACACTTATGCTTCAGCCTGGGGAACCCTGGTTTTGCAAGTGAATTTCATAACCAAACCCAGATAAAACGTCAAGCTGCCAAACTACCAAATGATAAACTCCTACGGAAAAAAAGTTCAGCTCTCTTCACAGAGTCCTCCTTTCTTCGCCTTCTCTGCATTTCGTTTCTAATGAATGGAGCAGAATCTTGGACTCGGGAAGGCCAGCACCAAGTGCCCGCGGGGAAGGAGGGCGAGGCTGCTGGACGGGTCTGGTGTCCCTCTCCGGCACATGCAGGGGAGAGCACTTTCGTCAAAGGGCGTGCCGCCTAAAAGCCAGGGGGACAGGGCTGTGTCTGTCCGCCAGCGCCTGGGCCCACTTCGGTGGTAGGGGACGTCAGCAGACACCTCTGTGCCCCTTTGTGGGTGACTCGGGGGGCGGGCAGCAGCCCTGGTGCTCGTCGAAACCAGACAGGAGCCTCTTCTGCCACAGGCAGGGTTGGCACAGGAGGAGGACGTGGCAGATAACAGGGTGCAGAGCCAGTCGTGGCTTCCTTTGGACAAATCTGGCCAAGCCGGGGGGGTGTGTTTTTTAACACTTCTCCACGTGGTATTAAAACAAAGCTGCCAATATGGAGGTGCTGCAGGGCCAGGCCTTTAAAATGGAAGTGCTCTCATTTGAAGAGAGGGGGGAAATTCTGAGATGGCCAGTCAGATAATGTGACGTACCCTTTTCTTCTAATCTTGCGTTCAGAAAACATCAGCAAAAAGGCAGCAGCAGGATTTGGCCAGAAAGGCAGGGCTGCGGAGATCGGGGCCTGGGGAGGCCCGCGCGCCCTCCGCAGTAGTGACAGTGGCTCTGAGCCCACTGCTCTGGGCCCTCCGCACGTGTTCCCGTGTCACCCTCCGGACCGTGTGCGGTGGGCCCCAGCGTCTCCGTCCGCAGACGCGGGAGGGAGACCTGCTGTGGTCGGGCCCGGCACGTGGTGGGCTGAAGTTCTGAGTCCGTGTCTTGGTACCCCAAGGCCGGACGCCTCGGTGCCCCGCCATGCTGTGCCCTTCCCTTGGGGCCCAGAGAGGCGAGGGCACAGGTTAGCAGTCTGGTTCGTTTCTGAGGACGGGCTATTTCCGAGCTGCATCTCTGGCATCAAGCTCCTTGCCCTGGGCAGCCAGGGACAGTGTCCTCCTGCTCCCAGGAGGCCAGGCGCTGGAGAAACCGCCGAGAGTGCTCTCCACGGGAGCTGGGCACCCGGGGGCCACCTGAGACCAGGTCGGAAGGGCAGAGACTAATGAGCTCAGCAGTCCTGTCAGCTGGCACTCACTGCCAACCTGGGAGACGGAACTTCGAGCACAGTTAAACCAGTAAACAGGACTATTAGCACCTAATGGGTTCTGCCTGATGGCTCATCACCCAGGTGACAGGCTGCACGGGGCCTCGCTCTCCAGTGCGTCCTTGGTATCTTTACTTGTCCTTTGGCGTGACAGAGCCTGTCCTGGGAACTGTCACCCGCAGGCGCGCCCCTCGGCCACTGGTCAAGCGTAGGGTAGCGAGAATGGCCCTGACAGGACACTGACCCGGCATTTACAGCCACACGTTAGGGCTCCGGACTGACGGCTCGCGGACGGCCATCAGGTGTGGTGACTGGTGGGTTCTAAGCATTTCCCTCGTATCCCTCTGCTCCGTCACCCCCCTCCCCTGCCCCAAGGGCTTCCGTCAGGTCAGGAGCGAAGGCAGAGAGGCACAGACTCCCTCACCTGCTCACCCGACTTAGCCAGGAGGTTCAGGAAGGTCACCCGCCTTTTCTGGTGGAGACACGGGGAGACCGGCAGGTGAGCTGCCGCCGACTTTGCATGGCTTGTCACTGCTGTCCTACAGTTAGTCTCTTTGTCACGACCGATTTTTAGTAGAGAAAGCTAGGCCATCTCTCCAGCTTAGGGATGGTGGACATTTCTGCGTGTCCCTTGAGGCGCAGCATGAAGCTGAAGAGCAGCACTCGGGAGACTGGCCGGGGAGTTCCGGGGTCACAGATGTGCGCGTGTGACTCACCGAGCTCCTGCACACGCCTGACTCAGCCCGATGTGCGGGAAGGCACCTACCACAGGTTCCAGCTTTCCGAAATGTGTGGGTGTGAGTCGTTCCTTGAGAAGGGCAGCCCCGGTCCTCGGCGGAAAGGACAGCTGACTTGCCTGTCCCCTTCCTCAGCGTTCCCAGCGACCAGGGGTTACAGGCTGCTTTCTCCAGTTCCTTTTGGTCCCGAGCACCACGAGAAGTAGGTGTTCCGTGCCGCGTGGGAGCCACAGGGAGGTGGCCGCGTGGCGTGGTCGTGGCATTCCCAGTGAGGACTCGGGCTGGGTGTAATTATGTTTCTTAAATCTCCTTCAGTCCGCTAAAGTAATAACCCCTGTAAGTAAACCTCAGTTTCCCACATTTCCGAAGCTGCTTGGGCGTCGTCACTGCTTGTGAACCCTGTCATGCTTGATCGTGAGGGTCCCTGACGTTGCTGTGCATGGCCTGGCTGTCACCCCTCGTCCCGCAGGCCCTCCCCGCTCCGCGTGCGCCTCCAGTCGTGTCCGGAGGGTGGGGGTGTGCTCGGCAGGTGGCCCCTGGCCCTCCGGGCCCGTCGTGTGTGCTGGATGCCGGCCTGGCACGGACACCGGTGGGGCTGCCTGGGTGCCTGAGGGGGGCCTCCTCCCTGCTGTCCTGAGTGGACGCTGGCTGCGGGACGCTGTCCAGAACAGCACGGTGTGGGCTCAGCGGCCATTGTGACGAAACGGGGGGCGGGGGGATGAGATCAAAGCGGGGTTGTCTCAGCGGTTTTTCCTTCGTGTTCGGCCAGCGGGACAGGGGACCCGAGCGCGTCGGACTTTGGGAATCAGGCGCCTGCTCGGTTCAGGGCACGTGCACCTGGCTTTTCGCATCCTCTTCCCCAGGCAGAGCGGCGTCTGGAAGGCGGCAGTGAGTCACCTGTCTGAAGGGCAGGCGGTCCTGTGCTCTCTAATCGCCTTCACCCAGACACTCGAATTAGATGCGTCTAGAGCGCAGACGCGTCCGCATCCGGGGCTTCTAGACACTGCCCCGCCCCCGCCTCGCGCGTTTGCCCCTCTGGTGAGGACGGCGGGAGTCTGGGCAGGGAGCAGCCTTCAGCTTCACCTGGGAGGCAAGTCAGGACACTTCCGATGTCTGTCTCTGTGTCCCTGCGCTGTCTTCTGGGGTCCACCTCCCCACCGTGGCTTGGGTCTGTGAGTCTGCCCAGCCTCTCTGTGCTGCCCCAGGCCTTGACCTCCAGGTGAGGCCTGCGTCGTGGGCGGGGCTTCTCAGCCCTGGCCGAGGGGTGCTTTATCTCTGTGCCCTGAGGCAGAAATGGGAGGGTGTGTGGTGTCAGCTGTCCCCAGACCTCCCGATCTGATGCGGGGTGTGTGTTTGCACCCAGTGTACGTGCACCCTGCGTGCGTTCTCTGCGTGAACCCCAGAACTCATATTTGTGGCCTCTTTTAAACACGACCCTTTCTCCTTCCCCTTCCTCCTGCTTATTAAAAGGTGGAAAGAACCGTTAAGCCACCTGTTCTCACTTTGTGGAAGGCCAGCAGAGGCCCCCAGTCACTCGGCTCGTCCGCAGTCACAGTGCTCCGGCCGTTGGGCGTAGGAGCCAGGGCGGCCACGGCTTCAGCCCGAGGTCACCCCCAGCCCTGCTCGGTCGTCTCTCCTCGTGACTTCCGCCAGCATTTCGTGGGAGTCAGGCTGGGCAGGCGAGTGCGGTCGGCCCCTTGGGGCTCGAGCTCAGTAAACTTGAGCATGGACACCTGGCTTGCAGCCTCTTCCTCCCTCCCTCCGCCCCCGCCCCAGGTGAGCCAGGCTTCTCTTTGCTGATGAGCCAAAGTTGACAAATGAACGGTTGAACTAAACAGCCAGAAGCTCCCTGACTGCGACTGACAGCTTTAGCAGTTTCTAGGACTTTTAAGCAAGTTTTTGAAATGCCAGTAATTAAGAAATGCTCTTATGTTCATCTTCATTTATTCCCATAATATTTAGCCTTAAGAGGGGCCATGACTTAATTTGTCCCTTCGAGGGGACAGTTTCACAGATGCCCTTTAGACTCTTGCTGACATGTCACTCGTGGGCGGCTCCCCGATCTTTCTCCCAGGCTTGTGCTGTTATCACGTACCACAGGGTTTTTGTCCTTTTGAATCAGAGGCTCGTATGATTTGGTAACACAAAGTGCACAGGGTACACCCGGATGACATTTGTACCTCGGTTTCTACTTGTGTTTGTCTCTTAATCATGCCATCATAAATGGCATGACTGGCAGGAGGAAGTTAAAAATGTGTTTCTCCCACTGACATTTGCCAGTGATTTTATACGCTTGGATTTCGTAGCTGTTGAAACAGTTGTCCATCCATTCGTTAGCGTGTTCTTAATTTGCTTTGGCCTACGCAGGCTTTTAAAAATATCCCAGAGCTTTCTTCCCATTAGCCATACTGAGTTCACGGGTATGTTCACAACTGGGCAAACACACAGTTGCCCACGCCCGATCTTGAGCTTTCTCGACGGGAACCCCGTTAAGGACCGGGGCGTGTGCCAGGGTCCTGACTGCACACATGGGCTGGCGCTCCCTCTCACTGCTCTGGGGCCTTCGGCTACGTGTAAACACACGCGCTCATTGTTGGCCAACCCTGAGGCCCTCTAGGCCTGGGACCGTGTCTGTCACCTAAGTGGACTGTCGTCGGGAGCACATGTGGCTGACTTCCGTCTAGAGCGGCTCTGAGCCCTGCTGTCAGGGCTGGGAGGCCGAGGGCTCAGCTGTGACCAGCAGGCTAGGTCCGGTCGCAGCACGGAGTGTCAGGTCAGCACCGCTCTGGGTGAGCCCCCTCCCCACTGGGATGCAGCTTCCTGTTTGGAGAATGAGAGGTGGTTCTTAAGGAGATGGGGGTGATTTTGCTGCCTCCCCCCAAGGGACATGTGGGAGTGTCTGGAGGCGTATTTGGGCTGTCACAGTGGGAGGGTGCTGTTGGCATCTGGTGAGCAGAGGCCAGGGAAGCTGCTGAACAGCCTTCAGTGCAGGACGCCGTGGGAGAGCCCGGTCCAGCCCCAGGTCACGTGGCCTCCAAGGGCCTGCTCACTGCCATCCAGGGCTTCTCACTCGCCAGTGCCCTTGGGAGTAGAAGCTGTTGTGTCCTGTGGCAGTTCCATGTTTTGCGACCGTGGCTGCCACCGACACGTGTCTGCTGAGATGACAGGTGCTCACAGGAGAGCATCACACCGTCCCCTCGCGGGGTCTGAGCCGACAGCCCCGTGCAGGGTTGTCCGTCTTTGGGTGGCCGCACATCTGGGGCCACAGGGTGTGTTGGGAGCGGATGCGGAGTCCCACGCTCCCGCGCCCAAGAAGCACCTGGCTAGGCTGGGGTGGCCCCGGCACAGCCTCACCAGGCGTCTGTGGCCCCCAGTTCCTCCGAGTCACGAAGCAGTACCTGCCGCACGTGGCGCGCCTCTGCCTGATCAGCACGTTCCTGGAGGACGGCGTCCGCATGTGGTTCCAGTGGGGCGAGCAGCGGGACTACATCGACAGCACCTGGGGCTGCGGCTACCTGCTGGCCTCCTCCTTCGTGCTCCTCAACCTGCTCGGGCAGCTCAGTAAGTGGCTCTCTGGCCGACGCCGTGGCCGCAGCACGTGCTGGTCAGACACCCAGAGCTGGCGAGTGACTCCGAGGGTCTCCCGAGACGGTCGTCCGCGCCCACCCGCTCCCGTCCAGGGCAGCGCCAGGCCTGGGACTGGTGCGCCGGCCTTTGGGCGTTCCCGTGTCCAGCCCTGGGCTGATCGCTGGGCTTGCTGACGAAATAGGACGCAGCCCGTTTTTAACTGGCCGGAGCGGGAGACGGGGGTGCCGTGGGCGACGTGGGCGGGCCGTGAGCCAGCGGTCGGAAGGCAGGTGTGCAGACGGGAGAGCGGGCCGACGGAGCAGGGAGAGCTGGCCGGACGCCGCGTGCGTTGGCCAGCACGGGCCTTCTGCTCCTGGCGGCGGCCTTCCTGCCTCGTGCGTGGGGCGGAAGGGGACTTGCACTTTTCAGCCAGTCCTAGCGCCACAGTAGAGCCTCTGGTGGCAGCCGACTGGGGACGGGGCCCGTTCTCTGTAGCCAGGGATCCGCTTTACAGTCCAGTTGACGCGCGTGTGGGGCCTGTGCCTGTGGGCCATTCTCCTACAAGCCGACTTTTCCTGGGGTAAGTCGCTGGGCGGCTGCTGCGCCAGAGGCCGGGCGAGGAGGCCAGGTGCGTGGCGTCTCCTCGCCGGGGACGACGGCCCCTGAGCCTCGCACGACTCCCTTCCAGCTGGCTGCGTCCTGGTGCTGAGCCGGAACTTCGTGCAGCACGCCTGCTTCGGGCTCTTCGGGATCATAGCGCTGCAGGTGAGCGGGGCGGTGGGGTCTCGCTCGCTTCTCCGTGCCTGGTTGGAGCAGAGCGTCTGAAAGGGGCCTTTGTGAGGTGTCAGGATGGCTCCCCCTCAGCCCTGCGTGTGTCTCTGCTCGGAACTCCTTTGTGCTCTGAGAAATTGCTCTGGAGAGCCGGCCAGCCAGCGGGACGGCCCAGCAGGGCTGGCGAGGCTGGCGCCCCCGAGCAGGTGCTGGCTCTGGGTACCCACCTTCTGCCACGTCCTGAGTTTCCTCTGACAAGGGGAGAGATGACGAGGTTGGCTGCAGCCAGCGCTGTTCTTGCAGCTACCGGCTTCCCCCATAAGGAACGGCACCTCGCTGTTCAGACGCTTTGAGCACGTGGCTTCTTAATCGAGAGCGTGTCTCAGCGCTGCCGTGCTCTCCAGCACACTCGGGCACGGCTCCGGTGGACCAGGTCCAGGGGCCACCGGCACTCTGACAAACGCTGAGCCTGACGGCTGGCCTTGGAGCCGGCCTGGGTGTCCTAAAACGGTTTTGTGTAGCTTATATTCAAAGAATTACCAAATGCTATTAATTCTGCAGAAATAGGAGCCTGTTTGAAAATGCTGAGACTCAAGTTTCTCTGTCCTTGTCCCCGCAGACGATTGCCTACAGCATTCTCTGGGACTTGAAGTTTTTGATGAGGTGCGTGCATCCGGTCGGTGGGCGGCCAGCTTTCCTCCCTCGCCGACTTCGCACTGTAACTGTCGGCGGGAGAAACTTCTTGGGGTCCAGACCGTGCTTCTGGGACTCTGGTGGAGGGTGGCAAAGCCTTTGGGACCCCCCCCCCCGGAGCCCTAGAACACAAATGCGAATGAGGGCATCTCTCCCGACCCCGAATTTCACGAGGGGGGGTGTCCGAGTGGAAACATGCTTGATCACAGGGCCCCAGCTGGTCCCTAGGGAGGCAGAGGCCAGGGCTGTGCTCCGGGTGTGTCCGGTGGCCCGTCATCGTCTGGTGGCACAGATGCGTCTTCATTCGTGGGCGGCCTCCGTAGGTGGAACTCAAGTCTGTGGTCCCGTGGCCTTGGGCTGGCCTCGGTCCCCCTTGCCCGGTCTGGTGGCGCTGTGGAGCCTTGCTGAGCCCTGGTGACCAGCCCCGCGTTTCTGTCCCTCAGGAACCTGGCCCTGGGAGGGGGCTTGCTGCTGCTCTTGGCGGAGTCCCGTTCTGAGGGGAAGAGCATGTTTGCGGGCGTCCCCACCATGCGCGAGAGCTCCCCCAAGCAGTACATGCAGCTGGGGGGCCGGGTCCTGCTGGTGCTGATGTTCATGACCCTCCTGCACTTCGACACCAGCTTCTTCTCGGTAAGGACTGCTGCCGGCCCGGCGGGCCCGGTCCCCGCTCCCCTGGCGTGTGCCTCGCAGAGCCGAGGGGCTCGAAGGAAGCCCCCGTTTTGATCCTCTTAAGAGAAACAAAACCGGTCAGGCTCTGGTGTGCCACGAAGCTGCCTGTGGCACAAGCGAGGTCCGGAGCCGCCCTTGCTGGAGGGGCTGGTGCCGCTTCACAGGCCCCGTCTCGGGCCCCTTGCCTCTAGCTCCTCCGTCATGTAACCGCTGGTGCCGGGGCGTGGGGTGCAGTTCAGGCTCCTTCCTCGCCTCTGGGAGCTTAGAGAGCATGTCCTTGCAGCTGAGTGGGCGCCGGCTCCGGGCCCATGGCACCCATGTTCGTCCCTGTCTGTAGCACGGTCCCCGGCCGTTAGCGGGCGTCTCTCGGCACACGCCTCACTGGCACCGCTGCTGGAGTGACACGGGCCTGGCTCTAAAACCGGGTGTCCCCTGAGTCTCTCTCTCTCACCTGCCACCCCTGCAGATTCTCCAGAACATGGTGGGCACGGCCCTGATGATCTTAGTGGCCATCGGCTTTAAAACCAAGCTGGCTGCCTTGACTCTCGTCGTCTGGCTGTTCGCCATCAACGTGTATTTCAACGCCTTCTGGACCATTCCCGTCTACAAGCCCATGCACGACTTCCTCAAGTACGACTTCTTCCAGACCATGTCGGTGATCGGAGGCCTGCTCCTGGTGGTGGCTCTGGGCCCCGGGGGCGTCTCCATGGACGAGAAGAAGAAAGAGTGGTAACAGCCCCTTCCCCGCCTGGCGAAGACCCGTGGCCATCGAGGACTGGTTCGGGGCGCATCCGACAAAACTGCCAGCATTTATGTACCCTCCTCCCCTCCCTCCCTCGGTAAAGGCACAGATGTTTTGAGAACTTTATTTGCAGACACATGAAATTTGATGGCTAGATCTGCTCTGCGCCCACCACCTGGGAGCTGAGCGTTCGGAGCTGGCCGGCCGGTAGCCCCTTCCTCCCTTGGCGGGAGTGGCTGGGTTGGCTGTGGCCTCTTCGTCCTTTTTGTCTTTTTTGGGTGGGGGGGGCTCCAGGCTGTACTGTGAGCAGATACATCTGTGTATCATTTGAAGCAGTCTCCCTCTTATTTTTTTAAAGTTTGTTTTTAGCTAAAACTACTACACGATTTGCGATGGCCCCGCCAAACGTCACTCTAACTCTCTGGTTGAAAATCACATCGGTGGCTTAACAGCGGTTCTGCCCTGCATTGTACACTTTATGGGGACAGTGAAAACACCTAGGAAAACCCCAGCCCCAAAGAATGAGGCAGGATTAGAAGAGTTGACGGTTCTGGTAAAAGACGCTGATGACTCAGAAAATCGACCCGGACTGGCGCACGATTTTTTATGGGGTCACACGGGGAACTTAGGTGACTCAAGGTGGGGATGGAGATTCTAGAAGTCTTTGGGGAAGCACAGAGCCTGCAGAGACCTGCATGTCCACCTGGGCCTGGCGGCATGTCTGTAAGGTGGCCCTGGCCGCTCCCGAGTGGCTGGCTTGGGAGGGGCAGGGCCGTGACAGCGCCGGCTCACAGACCAGTTACCTCACACACGGCCTCACGTGGCCTCGGCCGGGACCGCGGGCAGAGCTCGCCCTGGCCGGTCACCGGCCGGGCTTTCTTTGGCCTGACGGACGGTCCCAGGCTGTGCAGCCACGACGTACGTTTTCACGAGGCTGTTGCCCGCTCAGATCACCTGTTTGCTATGCTGAATGCAACCCAAATCCTTTTTAGTTGTGATGATGCCTTACGGATCGGGTCTGACTCCTGTCACGTGCTCTAACGTTGCCTTACGCTGCATTTTTCTCGGGGGGCGTGAGTGCTCGTTGCCACCCTCCGCTCGTCCTCACTGTAGTGAAGGCCACTGGGGCAGTCGGAACATCTCTGCGCGTCCCGTTGTCCCCCCGAGCTCTGTGGGGCAGACCGACTTGGCCAAGCTGACCAGACTCGGGACCTGGAGGCCCTTCAGCCTGGCCTCGGAGCTTCTTTCCTCCGGTCATCAGCCCGGTGTGCGAGCCTGAGGGCCGCCCCAGTCTCCATGTTCACCCTCCAGACCAGAGCCAGGGGTAGTTAAGTGGGGAGCCCCCACGCCTCAGTCAGCCACACGGGCAGGGGAGGCTGCCTTTTGTCCCCCAGTTCTCTTAAGACCTATGCCTGGCTCTGTAGCTTGGCCCTGCCTAATCCCAGGGGAATGAGGATGCACCTGTCACCACCCCACCTGTGTCCCAGCCACAGCTGCGGCTCATCCCTTGTTAGAGGGGCAGTGGCTGAAGGAGGGTGTTTCTACTCTCCCATTTAGGATCACCGCATGGAGGGTGGTTCCTTGCCTCAGCCTGGGCCAGCTGGCCTCCTGGCCCACACCCTGTCCCTGCCCACACAGCATGACACCCCATCGAATGGCGCCACCAGCCAGGCTGGTCTCTGTGGCAGTTTCTGACAGGGTAGGGGTCCTCAGCACTGTGTGTGGGAACCTTTGTTGGTTTGTGAGCCCAGGAGGCCAAGGGGTGCGGTCGCCCCCGGTCATCCTCAATGCCGAGGTCGTTCCCGCCTCCCAGGCCCCAAGTGGGCTAGTGCTTGGGCCTGGGGCAGATGCTTTGGTCGGGAGGGGTGGAAAGTAGGATCTACCAGTTGGTTTTGGCAAAACGATTTCTGAAAAATTTTTTGCTTTTTGTGGGAAATAGGTATAAATCTCATTTTATGCTGTATTTTATATCCTAGTTGTGTTTCAGAACGTTCTGATTTTTGGAAACACATAAAAATAAATAATGGCATTTGTTGTACAGAGTGTGACCCTCTGGTGCTGTCCGGTCGGGTGGGACCTGCCGGGGCCCCAGGTGCCACAGTGAGCAGACGGACCCTCAAGGCTTCGCTGAGGACCCTCGGAAGCCAAGTCCAGATGGTTCTTCCCTCAGGGTCCAAATGCGTCCTGGGTGCAGGAGGACGGGACCATGACATCTGTGGGACAGAGCCCCACCCCTGCCCTCAGGGACAGCATAGATGGAGAAAAGCTGGGGACGCCCCGCAGTTTGGGGGGCAGCTGGAGGAGGACCTGGGGCGACACACCCGGAGGAGTCTCGAAAGGCTTTCAAGACGCGTGTTCCCCAGCAACGCTTTATTCACCCAGCTGC